TAGTGCCTGCTTTATTCAAAAGTTTTAAAAAGTTTTATTGTGCCACCACAAAAAAAATTAAGAAGTTTTATACAGCTCAGTTCCGATTCTTGAAAAAAAGGATATTAAATTCCCCTTCCTTAGGCAGAGCACCAAATAAACACACACTTTTTTGTAGCTAAAAGGTATATAAATGGCATTTTTAAAGTTCGCTGAAGAGTTGTGTTACTTTACCAGAAACACTGCCAATTAAATCTCAGCGCTGTCACTAACCGACACGACAGACGGTTTCAAGCATCTATAAATATCCTGGAAGGGTTCAATCATCGGAAGAGAAGTTAAAGAAATAAAACTCCTAAATAGAAAAACCCTTTTGACACTCACAGAAGCAGCAGAGTCGTTTAGATATCATCTTAAATAAAGCTTTGGTAAAGTCATAGCAGCCTCTGAGCGCTGCTACTGTCAATAATTTGTGCCCATGAAGACTTGCACTGATTTAGTGAGGGCAGAAAAGAAAGAAGGAGGGAAAAAGTTTTTTTGAGAGAAATAATCCACACGATCAAGGAGCAAAAGTTCTTTCCCTGCAGTTCACCCCTCCCGCTGTCAGAAATCAGAGCATCCCACCGGACAGACACACGGAACACGGACCTCACTCCTGTTAATTGTAAAAGCCAACGAAGAACTTTCCAAAATAACCCACACACAAACTTACCCCTTGGCTGCCTTGAAACTGGATGACTGGTTTCGATGTCACAGCATCCTAAACAAAAAAAAAAAGTGGAAAAAAAAAAAGAGGTTACCTTAGAGAAATTTAAAACTCCAATATCCGTTGCCAAAAAAATACTCAGCTTGATTTTTCACCTATACCTTATTTTTTTTAAAGGGAAAAATTTCAGTGAAATACGCTCGCTAGAAAGTATGTGAAGTCCTACCACCAGCTCCTCAAAGCAGGGCACAACGGGGACATATTTGGGTACTACAGTTAAAACCAGCTGGTTCCGCAGCTGCCAGCTTCTTGTCATACCCACGAAAAAAATAATAATAATAATAATAACAGGACAAAGAGCTCTTTCTATCTGCCCCAATTGAACCGGGTCTCGCTTTCTTCAAAGCTCTACCTTTGGCCTTTACTCGACAGTGCAATTAATTAAAACAGCTGAAAAGCAGGCGTGCGGAGGTCAGCTCTGGGCTGTCAACATCCTCCTCCTCCTCCTCTTCCTCCTCCCACCGCGCGGGGCTCGATGGCATCATCGCACCCAGCTCCCTTCCCGGGCTGTAATTACAGGTGATTGGCAGCTCCATCACCAAAAAACCCTTCTTCTGGAAGTTTTGGGGCTCAAATACAATTAAGCGCACGAAATACTGGTTTTTAATATAAGGAACTGCGAAGTTTTAAAATATTTCGAATTTTTAAAAGGAACTGCACCGTTCAAAAGTATTTTCAGTTACTATAAGGACCTGCAGAAGAGCTGTGAATTTTTAAAAGGAACTGCACCGTTCAAAAATATTTTCAGTTATTATAAGGACCCGCAGAGCTGCGAATTTTTGCACCGGGACTGCACTTTTTGCCTGGCTGTGATTTTACAAAGCTCACAAAAACTCTGGAATTCAAACCTTTCGCAGAATAGGTATTTTTAAAATTATTATAAGGAACTGCACCATTTTAAAATAGGTTTTCTTTCTGTAAAAGCCTGAGTTTCACACCCCTGTGAAACCCACCCCGGGGGCAGCTGAGGGCGACGGAGCGTTTTAAACTGTTCTGATTCATTTTGCTGTATTTCCTTCGAGGAGGAAGATGAAGAGAAGAGGCACTTGTAGAACTTAAGCAGCTTTACAGGAAAAGTTATGTGCAGCTCCTCTCTCAAGGTGCTCTACAAAGGGAGGGGGAAAAGCGTTTGCAGCCTTTGTAGCTCCTTTTATTCCATGCAAAGCTGTTTGCTCATCTAATGGCAACAAATCATCCACCTTTCAAAGCTCTCCTTGCTGCTCCCTTCTAATTCTGCCAAACTCCAGTGGCAGATTTTTATCTACACTTTCATGCTGAGCCTTCTGGGAAGCTTAATTGTAAACAAAGTTAAAAAAACCTGGAAATTGCTCCTTTCTTTATTTCCCAGGACTAAAAGGTTTCGTATTTTTCTTCTTAACTTACGATAACAATCATGTCTTTCCTGCTACACTTTGTTGGAGTGCTATGGACCTGGGGAGACTAATATCAGAGGGTTAAAATATGGGCAGGGAGGAGGGTGCTAGACTTTAGTGCCTGCTTTATTCAAAAGTTTTAAAAAGTTTTATTGTGCCACCACAAAAAAAATTAAGAAGTTTTATACAGCTCAGTTCCGATTCTTGAAAAAAAGGATATTAAATTCCCCTTCCTTAGGCAGAGCACCAAATAAACACACACTTTTTTGTAGCTAAAAGGTATATAAATGGCATTTTTAAAGTTCGCTGAAGAGTTGTGTTACTTTACCAGAAACACTGCCAATTAAATCTCAGCGCTGTCACTAACCGACACGACAGACGGTTTCAAGCATCTATAAATATCCTGGAAGGGTTCAATCATCGGAAGAGAAGTTAAAGAAATAAAACTCCTAAATAGAAAAACCCTTTTGACACTCACAGAAGCAGCAGAGTCGTTTAGATATCATCTTAAATAAAGCTTTGGTAAAGTCATAGCAGCCTCTGAGCGCTGCTACTGTCAATAATTTGTGCCCATGAAGACTTGCACTGATTTAGTGAGGGCAGAAAAGAAAGAAGGAGGGAAAAAGTTTTTTTGAGAGAAATAATCCACACGATCAAGGAGCAAAAGTTCTTTCCCTGCAGTTCACCCCTCCCGCTGTCAGAAATCAGAGCATCCCACCGGACAGACACACGGAACACGGACCTCACTCCTGTTAATTGTAAAAGCCAACGAAGAACTTTCCAAAATAACCCACACACAAACTTACCCCTTGGCTGCCTTGAAACTGGATGACTGGTTTCGATGTCACAGCATCCTAAACAAAAAAAAAAAGTGGAAAAAAAAAAAGAGGTTACCTTAGAGAAATTTAAAACTCCAATATCCGTTGCCAAAAAAATACTCAGCTTGATTTTTCACCTATACCTTATTTTTTTTAAAGGGAAAAATTTCAGTGAAATACACAGAATTCCAAGTGGGAAAATACAAAACCTGAAACGGCGATTCGTACCTAGAAAAGGGATAAAACTGTAACGTCATCAGTGGTTAAAAAACTTCACTCTCGAAGGTCATTAACCCTGATTTCAGAAAAAGAAAACCTCTGAGAGGGAGCCCAGATGGACCACGCTTCACTCCTCCCCAACCCCTAAACCCCACTCCAGGCACAGAACAGCTTCGCTGAGGCTCGTCGGTGCTTGTGTTCAGTTTTGAGTTAAACACTGGATATTTGAGGGGAAAAAGTTATGACAGTTCTGGGTCTGAGAACGTGCGAAGTGAATTTTTTCCAACAGAAAGCTGGCAATTCATCGGAACAGCAAACTGCAACCTCGTTGCAAAATACCCTTGTTACGGTGCCCGTTTCAACAATCGGCCTCTTCCTCTCCACTCATTTCCCTACATTTCAAGGAGTCACACTCCTGCCAGCTCCAAAACCCCCCAAAACCCGCTCAAGGCAGAAAAAACACTGAATTTCAGCGTGAATTTTTGCACCGGGACTGCACTTTTTGCCCGGCTGTGATTTTACAAAGCTCACAAAAAGCTTTGGAATTCAAACCTTTTACCTGAGGTTTCAACTACAGGGAGAGAACCAACACGCCGAGTTTTTATTTCTTCAATCTCAGGAGAATTGCTGCTGTATTGGGTTTTTTTTTTTTTCCTAGAGTCACTCAAAACATCCCAAGACGCACTAAGAGACCCCCTCCACGGGACAGAATTTTCCCATTTCAATGGGAAAAACCAGCCACGAAGAATTTAGGAGACAGAAATCCAAACGGTGCGTTTGTATTGTCCTTTTTGCATCACAGTCCTCTCCCGGCGTTATAACGACCACCTCCACTTCCCCAGGGTTACATAAACGAGACTCTTACATTTAGCAGCAAAAGAGTTAACGGCTTGAAAGCCCATTAAATTTATCATCTCTCATAAAACCTTTCCGAACGTTTGCAGCCCAGGAGTGAAGAATCTCAGCCACGATACGCTAAAAAACCTGGAAATTGCTCCTTTCTTTATTTCCCAGGACTAAAAGGTTTCGTATTTTTCTTCTTAACTTACGATAACAATCATGTCTTTCCTGCTACACTTTGTTGGAGTGCTATGGACCTGGGGAGACTAATATCAGAGGGTTAAAATATGGGCAGGGAGGAGGGTGCTAGACTTTAGTGCCTGCTTTATTCAAAAGTTTTAAAAAGTTTTATTGTGCCACCACAAAAAAAATTAAGAAGTTTTATACAGCTCAGTTCCGATTCTTGAAAAAAAGGATATTAAATTCCCCTTCCTTAGGCAGAGCACCAAATAAACACACACTTTTTTGTAGCTAAAAGGTATATAAATGGCATTTTTAAAGTTCGCTGAAGAGTTGTGTTACTTTACCAGAAACACTGCCAATTAAATCTCAGCGCTGTCACTAACCGACACGACAGACGGTTTCAAGCATCTATAAATATCCTGGAAGGGTTCAATCATCGGAAGAGAAGTTAAAGAAATAAAACTCCTAAATAGAAAAACCCTTTTGACACTCACAGAAGCAGCAGAGTCGTTTAGATATCATCTTAAATAAAGCTTTGGTAAAGTCATAGCAGCCTCTGAGCGCTGCTACTGTCAATAATTTGTGCCCATGAAGACTTGCACTGATTTAGTGAGGGCAGAAAAGAAAGAAGGAGGGAAAAAGTTTTTTTGAGAGAAATAATCCACACGATCAAGGAGCAAAAGTTCTTTCCCTGCAGTTCACCCCTCCCGCTGTCAGAAATCAGAGCATCCCACCGGACAGACACACGGAACACGGACCTCACTCCTGTTAATTGTAAAAGCCAACGAAGAACTTTCCAAAATAACCCACACACAAACTTACCCCTTGGCTGCCTTGAAACTGGATGACTGGTTTCGATGTCACAGCATCCTAAAAAAAAAAAAAAAAGTGGAAAAAAAAAAGAGGTTACCTTAGAGAAATTTAAAACTCCAATATTCGTTGCCAAAAAAATACTCAGCTTGATTTTTCACCTATATCTTTTTTTTTTTTAAAGGGAAAAGTTTCAGGGAAATATACAGAATTCCAAGTGGGAAAATACAAAACCTGAAACGGCGATTCGTACCTAGAAAAGGGATAAAACTGTAACATCATCAGTGGTTAAAAAACTTCACTCTTGAAGGTCATTAACCCTGATTTCAGAAAAAGAAAACCTCTGAGATGGAGCCCAGATGGACCACGCTTCACTCCTCCCCAACCCCTAAACCCCACTCCAGGCACAGAACAGCTTCGCTGAGGCTCGTCGGTGCTTGTGTTCAGTTTTGAGTTAAACACTGGATATTTGAGGGGAAAAAGTTATGACAGTTCTGGGTCTGAGAACGTGCGAAGTGAATTTTTTCCAACAGAAAGCTGGCAATTCATCGGAACAGCAAACTGCAACCTCGTTGCAAAATACCCTTGTTACGGTGCCCGTTTCAACAATCGGCCTCTTCCTCTCCACTCATTTCCCTACATTTCAAGGAGTCACACTCCTGCCAGCTCCAAAACCCCCCAAAACCCGCTCAAGGCAGAAAAAACACTGAATTTCAGCGTGAATTTTTGCACCGGGACTGCACTTTTTGCCTGGCTGTGATTTTACAAAGCTCACAAAAACTCTGGAATTCAAACCTTTCACCTGAGGTTTCAACTACAGGGAGAGAACCAACACGCCGAGTTTTTATTTCTTCAATCTCAGGAGAATTGCTGCTGTATGGTTTTGTTTTTTTTTCCCTAGAGTCACTCAAAACATCCCAAGACGCACTAAGAGACCCCCTCCACGGGACAGAATTTTCCCATTTCAATGGGAAAAACAGTCACGAAGAATTTAGGAGACAGAAATCCAAACAGTGCATTTGTATTGTCCTTTTTGCATCACAGTCCTCTCCCGGCGTTATAACGACCACCTCCACTTCCCCAGGGTTACATAAACAAGACTCTTACATTTAGCAGCAAAAGAGTTAACGGCTTGAAAGCCCATTAAATTTATCATCTCTCATAAAACCTTTCCGAACGTTTGCAGCCCAGGAGTGAAGAATCTCAGCCACGATACGCTGACGTTAAGAAAAAAAAAATTAAAAAAAATATAAATTCACTAGGAAGAAAACCTCTTTCCAGCCCAAATGGATAAGCTCACACCGAGACACACTTTCAGAGCCTTTTCAGAGCCCATCCAATGCGATTTGACGGATCCACGTCACACCCTAAATCGTTAGGGGCTATTTATGAGGGTGAGTAAAGCAGGAACACGCCTGAAGCTGACAGCGCTGCCTCCCTGTCGCCAAGTTTTATAGACCCGAAACAACCTTCATAAAGAAACAATAAACAACGTCTTGCTCGACGTACAGAGATCACCAAATTCCTTGAGTGCCACGCCACCGCATACCACAGCGCGCTGTTCATCCACAGACCCCGCCAGCTTCTCCTTCCCCCTGTCAGCGTGTACCCCGCGAGGCGGCCAGAAATCCCAGAAATCCATACGGATGTACATGAGCAAACAAGTGTTTGAAATATTTAAAAAAAAAAAAAAATCTGGATTAAAAAATGAAAAAAAAAAAATCCCCACCAAAGCCCTGAACGCGGATCTCGTACGAGCTAATTACGGATTTGCGAAGTTCTGCGATTAATTCTTGGAAAATTACTTACGTGGAATAAAAAGGTAACATGAAGCACGTAAGTAGAATGAGGCAGGAACGATAGGAAAGCACTGTTACACAAATCAGGACAAGCTTTCATCACAGAATTTATAAATTTCTATCTACATACAAAATGGTCTGAAGTCAAATGCGTGATCTCAAACTTCAAAATGAGTGTTCATGCGAGTAAAAATGGCAAATTTCAGCCTTATTTCCTCACTATCACCCCCCCAAATTCAGGATTTCTAGGCTCCTGAGCTGTGTGTGCTGAGGGACTGTGGGGTTTTGTGATCTGCCACGTAGGAATATGGGTGTTACAGCTCCCTGTTACACCCCACAGAAGGGAAAAGCTGGATATTGGAGGGTCATTGCACCATCCATGTTCCCCTCTTGGCTTCTCGGCAACATCACCCCTGTGCTGGTGTCATGTCCCTTCTACTGCCACCCAGCTCCGTGGCCACAGGTAGCTTGAAAAGGCTCAGGGAAGAAGAAAACACACACCCTAACCTAATTAAGGATATTAATTTAAGTACTTTTATTAGATGAAATTAAACTCCTGCTTGGGCACCTTCGTTCAGAGTAAAAGCAGGCAGATGAATTAAGCCAAACCAAATAAAAACCATACCTCAATTTTCAGCTCGTTTGGATTAACTTTCCTGAGTGTTCTTGTATGAACAACCCCAATTTTACAGAGTTCTTGCTACCGTTTCCGAAATCCCCATCATCCTCTAACGAGTCACCTAATTCTTCTTCCTTAGTAACACCAAGGCACTGAACTTCCTTCGTTACAGTTTCCTAGAAATGCTGTCCCTCCCACCTTTCACAGGAAGAAGGTCTTTTCCTCTTTCTCTCTTTCCTTCTAATTAACAAAGTCACCTCCTCAGCCCTAGGGCAGGACCGTGGTCCTGCTGCAGGTGAGGGTCCACCTTCTCTGGAGCACACCAGCCTACAGGGCTCAAGGATGTACATCAAGGATGCTGATGAAACCTCACCTTTGAGTTTAATTAAGAAGCAAACCAAGACAGATCTGTCCCAGGAAGGGGCCCCACCAGCACAGCCTGAGCATCTCCCAGCTAAAACATTCCAGCTTTCCATGAGACTCACTGTATTTAGGAAGAGCTACTTGAAGATGATTAGGATAAAGACAAAAATCTAAGCAAGAAAACAACATTTAAGTATTTTAAAGCAGCCACGTGTCAGTTCAACACGTGTTCTACTGCCAGGCACAGACCTTCACCTCTGCAGTTAGAATCATAGAATGGTTTGGGTTAGAAGGGACCTTGAAGACCATCGAGTTCCAACCTCCTGCCCTGGGCAGGGACACCTCCCACCACACCAGGTTGCTCCAAGCCCCCTCCAACCTGGCCTTGAACCCCTGCAGGGATGGGGCAGCCACAGCTTCTCTGGGCAACCTGGGCCAGGCTCTCACCACCCTCACAGCAAAGAAGTTCTTCACGAGATCTCATCTCAATCTCCTCTCTTTCAGTGTCAAACCCTTCCCCCTCGTCCTATGGCTCCCCTCCCTGATCAAGAGTCCCCCCCAGCCTTCCTGGAGCCCCTTGAGGGACTGGAAGGGGCTCTAAGGTCTCCCCGGAGCCTTCTCTTCTCCAGGCTGAAGAGTTGACACTCATCCAGAGCGGTGATGATGCTGCTGGAGAGGTCCAAGCGTGAATGAGCACCGTTGCTGGGACCCACAGGACCGGAGAACAAGCCACTACCTGGCAAGAGTTACAAATTTCCACCAAGAGCGAGCAGAGCCCCTTCAAACACACCTCCCAACACATTAATTACTTCTCTGCTCCCACTCACTATTGTTTCAACAAAAGGTTTCCTGACGCAGGACCCAAAGGTTGGCAAATCATTACCACGGCTTCGCTGTTTGCTAATTGCTACAATGGATCTTTAAAAAAAAAAAATGCGTCAAACTTCCTCCCGTCTGACCGTAAGAGAAAATGAACTGTTTTAACAAACCAGTGAGTCCTTCCTGCAGTCGGACTCACCCGTGCCCCAACGCTCCGTAAGGAAAAATTTCCAAAGGAACAGCCCAACCACAAACGTGTGGCTGTACTTCTCCAAGATCTACCCAAACTTTCATTGCCGGCTTCATCACATCCACCCGACCTGCAAACACACCCATGAAAGGAGCCTGGATAGACCCCAGATATCATAGAATCAGAGAATGGTCAGAGTTGGAAGGGATCTTGAAGACCATCGAGTTTCAACCCCCTGCCCTGGGCAGGGACACCTCCCACCAGCCCAGGTTGCTCCAAGCCCCCTCCAACCTGGCCTTGAACCCCTCCAGGGATGGGGCAGCCACAGCTTCTCTGGGCAACCTGTTCCAGTGCCTCACCACCCTCACACCAAACAAGTTCTTCCCCAAATCTCATCTCAATCTCCCCTCTTTCTCTTTAAAACCATTACCCCTCGTCCTAGGGCTCACCACCCTCACACCAAACAAGTTCTTCCCCAAATCTTATCTCAATCTCCCCTCTTTCTCTTTAAAACCATTACCCCTTGTCCTAGGGCTCCTCTCCCTGATCAAGAGTCCCTCCCCACCTCTCCTGTAGCCCCATTAGGTATTAGAAGGCTGCTATAAGGTCTCACCAGAGCCTTCTCCAGGCTGAACAACCCCAACTCTGCCTTCCTAGGAGAGGTGCTCCATCCCTCTCAGCATTTTCCTGGCCCTCCGCTGGGCTGTGGGTTCTGTCAGGTGACAACACAGCCTTTTACTCCATAAAAATTCAATTATTTTCTATCTGGAAGGAGCATTTCCACGCTTCTGTGCCCAGTTTGCTGCCTTCCACAGCTCCTGCTGTACTCTTTGGGCACGGTGGAGAAATAAAGCTGCAAGTTCTCAAACACTAAAGCTCTTCCCCAGGACGCCAACAGGAATTAAACCCAGAGACCCAAGTGCTTTTTGCCAGACTGTCACTCCAGATACCATAAGGTTATTTGCAAAGGCATGAGATTAAACCAAAAAACCCCCAAACTCATCCCCAAAGCTCCCACAAAACATTTGTTTTTTATTAGCATGGTATTGTGCTCATCTTCATCCTCTTCCCCAGGCCAGGGGAGAGACAGTAACCCTTAATACGTGCTCCAAAAGCTCTCCGAGGTGGTGGCAACACCCAAATATTCCTCACCCTTAAATACTCCACATCCAGCACGTGGAAGCTCAAGTAAAGTGTCGGAGAAACTAGAAAGTGTCAATAAAACACACAAAAAATGCATCTAAAACTAATAAAACACCGTATTATATCA